GCGAGCAAGAATTCAGTGCAGTTTAGCACAGTACAGAACAGAGTCTTAACCACTGTAGTTTGGGTATTACTCAGACCTGGGTTCCAAATCTTAGCTCTGCCTTCTTTAAGGTCTGTCATCTTGAACAAGTTATTTGGGGTTTCTAAGCCTGAAAATAGTAGTGATAATAACTTTTATTGAGAGTTTACTTTGTTCTGGACACCATACTAAGTAAGCACTCTGTATACATTCTCATACCCACAACTGATGAGGAAATTGAGGCTTAAATTAAAGGAAATTAAATAACTTGCCCAAGTTTACACAGCTAGGTGAATATATCATAATGTGATTGTGAGGATTAAATGCAAGAGTGGGGGGCTTAAAGCACTTAGCCTAACACGCTACCAGATTAGATGATGGTCGATAGATAGATAGATAGATAGATAGATAGATAGATAGATAGATAAGATAGATAGATAGATGATAGGTAGACAGATATACACACTTGATACATCATTTTTAATAATTTAGACACAACACTTGTAGCAAGTTTTGCTTTATTTTATTACTCAAATCACCTCTCTAAGCAACCTAATTTGCTATTTTCTGTGGTTAGTACGAGCATGGGCTCTAAAGCCTGCTTTGGCTTGCATCTCAGCACTACCACTTACTAGCTCTATGATTCTGGGTAAGTTACTTAACCTCTTTGTGCCTCAGGTTTTGTCTGTGAGAAGGGCATAATATTAGAACTGATTTCATGGAAGTTGCTCTGAGAATTAAATGAGTTAACACTGAAAGCAATAAAAATAGTGCCTCGTATACTTAGCATTTTTAAAACTGATTACACATTTTATAAATTTCAAGTTCTATTTTACACTATTATAAAGATTTTAGTACACATCCTTATATTGAGATCTGAACATACTGTTATTAATGCCAAAAGGTTATGTAAATGCACAATCTGTCGGAATTTATAGTAAGAAGCTGCCTCCATTTAAAAGAAACCCATGTAGCATTTACATGTGCTTATATTACTAAAACAGACGTCAAACCCAGACACAAGATATAAAAAAAATGCCAATTCTTTCTGTCTTAATTTCAGCAAGATCAGTTTATCCATGAATTCATTAAAGAAAAGGATCTGGCATATTTAGGATTTTACTTTGTCATGTATTCTGTGGATTTATAAGGTCTTTTGAAAACAATTGAACAATTCCAAACAAAGATAAACAATATATCTTCAACTTTATGATCAAATATGGCAAGGTAATACTACTTATGAAAACTCTCATAAAGAAAGCATATTACCTAGGATTAAGAAGCATGCTACCTGCAAAAAAACTGTTTCTTACCAATTGAAAATATATTTTAGACACACATATATATATTTCCACACATACATATATACAAGTGTTTTGGAATTAGGTTAAATTCTCCAAAGTATAATATTAATCACATTCCTTCCTATTACAAACCATAAAAAAATCTGTGATAATTTTACAATTACAAGTCATATTGTGGCTCTAGGATAGCCAATGTCATGTAGCAAAGTAATTAGTAAGAGCATAGAAACTTACTTTGTTCCTTCGAAAGACAATTCCTGTATTAAATAATATTATTTTTCCTTAAAAGTCCTGAATCTTCACACAAAGGCATTACAAGCTCATTATGCACCTTAATTATAAGGGCACCTGTGTTTCTTTGTTTATCTGGTTGGTTGGACCTGAGGATTTGATTTGTCACAGTACTCCTCTGTCCCGCCCTATTTCTCTCTTAATGAGAAACAACTTAACAATAGCATCTGTGCAACCTCTAAGGCTCAAATAATGACTGGGAAGGAGGGAGGTAGTAGTTATGTTGGAGAGCACGTGTTACTTGACCTTCAGGCAAAGGGCTAAAATTCAGGGTTAGTAAGCATGAGACCACCCCCACCTCCTACTCCCACCTTTTTCTTCCCCACTCCCCACCACCCCCTCTCCTTCCTGGGGGGAGGAGGGAGGAGGAGCAGAGTGGTATTAGGTGGAGTCAGATTAATCCCTCCTCTGTCTTTCAGGAGCCATGTGGTCTTGGGCAAGTTTCTTTAATTCTCTGAGCTTTGGTTTCTGAATAATAGAGATACTAGTACTTACCTAATAGGTTGTTATGAAGATGATTTTTAATGTTAATAGCAAAGTGTGTAAAGGAATCGCTTAATACAAGTTGCTTCTCTTTCCCCCTTTTCCCTCTGCATTGGGAACATTAAAAAAAAACTCCAGCCGAAACCGGTTTGGCTCAGTGGATAGAGCGTCAGCCTGCGGACTGAGGGGTCCCGGGTTCGATTCTGGTCAAGGGCATGTACCTGGGTTGCAGGCACATCCCCGGTGGAGGATGTGCAAGAGGCAGCTGATCAATGTTTCTCTCTCATCGATGTTTCTAACTCTCTCTATCTCTCTCCCTTCCTCTCTGTGAAAAATCAATAAAATATATTTAAAAAAAAAAAAAAAGACTCCAGCTATGCACATCAGTAGAAGAATAAGCATGTATGAAGGTATGGATATTTGAGAAATTTGGGAATTTGATGTAAGATAGAAAATGCATCTAGAGTTTTCACCATCAGCATCTCCTGAAAGGGAAAAGGATTCATTCATTCTGCAGGTATTCACTGAGCACCTACTAGGCCTAAGGCTCATGCTAACCACTGGCAATAGAGTTGTCTTCTGTTCTTGAGAAGATAACAGCCTGAGCAGACAGAGATGAAGAAATGACAGATGGTGACAGTACTTTGTAACACAGTGTAACAAATGCTAAAATAGACAGAAGGACCAGGTACTGTGAGAGTACAGAGTAAGGGCAGCAAAACCAGCCTAGGAGAAAAGGAGTAGGTGGGAAGGAGGGATGGCCTGGGAAGTTCCTGGAAAAAATGACTCTGGAATTGGGGTTTTGAAGACAATTAGGAGTTAGAAGGTGAAAGACTGAACATCGAAGCTTGTTAGAGGTGCCTTTTAAATTTTATTTAAATCTTTATTGTTGACAGTATTACATATGTCTCCTCCCCCCTCCCCCCATTGAACTCTTCTAGCCTGCCCCGCCATTCTCACACACAACCCTCCCACCCCAGGCCTTCACCACCTTATGGTCTGTGTATACATATATGCATACAAGTTCCTTGGTTAACCTCTTCCCACCCACCCTCCGCTGCCTTCCCTCTGAGGTTCTACAGTCTGTTCCATGCTTCTAAGTCCGTGGATCTTAGAGGTGCTTTTGTAAAAAATACCTACTCTACATAACTGTGAAGTAAATGATGTGTTCCATTGTCAGGATGAGGCTACACTGTAATGCCATTGACTACTATGAATGTAACAGAATTTGTACATCTAATGCTTCATCACATGAGATTTTAATGAGAACAATGAATAAGCGCTGTTTTCAAGTAAGCCCATGAGCATATGTTCAGAGACATTTGATTAGAGCCTTTGCTCTAACAGATTCAACTGTTCTTAGTTGCTCTTTAACAGTTACAGTTTACACTTAATAGATTCAATAATTAATTGCTTAATGGTAGAAAATCAGTAAATCATGACATGCAAGAAATGACAGAAAAAGAGTACTCAGTCTTCATTAGGTTTTAGTGCTGCAAGGGATCTTAGAGATCATTGGTATCCTCTTCATTTTACTGGCAAGGAGGAAAAGCCAGGTCCAGAGAAGCTCAGTGAACTGCCCAGGTTCACACAGCTGGTGAGAAGCAGAGACAGGAATAACAGTTCTCTGGGCTCTCTGCCCATTGCTCTTACCAATGGCAATGGCTACCATTTACTGGTCATTTCCCATGTGCTAGCTAAAATCTCTATTAGTTCATTTTAGGGACATATCTACTCCAACATTTATGCCTGAATCCTTCTAGAATGGAGCAGGGAATAAATAACTTTAAGAAGTAAATATATGTTGTGCAGATACCAGTGAATGAAGAAATATTCTCATAGAGCTTATTTCATTAGGTAGTTTATGTGTTTCTTTCAAAGGGAACTTTAGTTTTATACACATCTTTCAGATTTTGTTGCTAAGATTCTCCACTAGTAGTTTGATTTAATTCAGTTCGATTTGACAAATGTTTATTGAGTGCTTGTGATAGCAAAGGTGACTGTCTCTTTTCTGTTGCATTCTCCCTGGGTGTCATGAGAGGCTGTGCCATGCCAGGAAAGAGCACAAGCTTGGGAGTTAAAAAGGCTAAGGTTCAAACCCCAGCTCCACAATGAACTGTTTCAGGGATCTTGGGGCGGTTGTCTACTTCCCTTACCTGTAAAATGAGGGTGTGAATTACATCTACCGTACAGGGTTGTTCTATAGACGAAAATGAATAAAATAAGTAAATAGAATCCATTTTATTCAAGGCCATTTGTTCTGCTGAATACTCATATTCATTAAGCTGAGCAACATTCTGTTCAAGGCCATTTATTATAACATGTGGTAGATTATATTATCTAAATGTGGCTAAACAATATCTCCCACCACACCTGCTCTTCTGCAGTGTGACCTCGCTACTCCCTTACCAAGAGGTGAATCTAATTGCTTTCCCCTTGAATCTTGATCACTCTTAGTGACTGTGGGTCATGCTATCCATTGAGTCTTCCTTCTAGCTATTAGGAATACAGATGTTACACTGGGAGCTAAGATGTAAGCAGGAGAACTAAACAGAAAGACCCTGGCACCTGGATGATTGTGTGCGTTGTCATTTTGGCCATGGACTACCAACTCAGATTTACAGGGCAGAGGAATAAACCTTCATCTAATATAGGCCACTTATTTCAGACCTTCCTGTCACAGCAACCAAACCAATATCCAAACCAAAACAATTAGAGACTCTATAAAGAATCTAAAGCAGTAGCTCACTGTTAAGTATATAGGACATTTCAAACACTTAAATCATCTACTGCCCTCCAGAACACAATCCCTCCCTTCTGGATGATTTTTGTACCTGACTCATTGACCTCTTTTTCTATCTCTTCCCTCAGAGTCATCAACAGACAATAGTAATTTTTTTTTTCATTTGTAGCAGTACTTAGTGTCCAACAGAAACCACTCCATCTGTTAAACAATCTCGATTGCAGGGTTTCTCTTACTGTTGGTGGATAGATAATGACATGGACAGTCACTATCACCGTGGCAACAGTACCCAGGAAGGTGGATAGATAATGACATGGACAGTCACTATCACCGTGGCAACAGTACCCAGGAAGGTGGATAGATAATGACATGGACAGTCACTATCACCGTGGCAACAGTACCCAGGAAGGTGGATAGATAATGACATGGACAGTCACTATCACCGTGGCAACAGTACCCAGGAAGGTGGATAGATAATGACATGGACAGTCACTATCACCGTGGCAACAGTACCCAGGAACTATCAGAGGAAAATTGCATATGGAAGGCTGGCTCTTGGCTCTTGAGTAGTCATGCCTCAGCTTCCTCCAGGGTCTGCTTTTTCTGCAAGTCTGGTGGACAGTAGTAATCTTTTAAATCACTTAATCTCACCAATCCTTGAATGTCTCATCTCCAATGACTCACTTTCCTGCCATTTCAGCCCCCAGTTTTACAGCCCACCCCAGGCTTCCTCATGACACTAAATGGCACCACCTGTCAATTTTAGAATCCTGCCATTTTTCTCTCTGATTCCTGCTCCTGGCCACCTCTCTTACTCTCTCTCTGCTACAAACTCAGTGTTTATTTTCATCATGTTCTTCACTCCTATGTCCTATTCTATGTGTGGAGTATGATTTTTTCTGACTGGCATTTTTACTGCTATGGGCCAAACAGTTAGCATTTTCTCTGCTACCCTAGAATCTTTCCCTAACTTATTCACCTTCTGCCATTACCACCTGGTCAGCCCTAGCTTGGGGTCTCCACTGGACTCCCACAGCCCCTGCACAGAGCTGTCACTCTGCTCTGTCCATTTCAGTTTGTGTGGCGGTCTCCCCAGTGGACTATGAGCTCTTTGAGGTTGGAGACTGACTTATTCATCTCTGTATCTACAATTTCCAGCAAAAACACGTCTATTAGTTGGAATGCCTCAGTTGTTTCTGTCTCCATGCCTTTTGCTTATGCCATTCCTCCCTCAAAATATATCCCCCGACTACATTAGCTCCTTTTAAAGTCAGACAAATCCTGTGAGGTTCATTTCAGATGCCACATTCAAGAAGTTTTTCCTAATATACTTCCCACTTCTGAGGCTCTGTAGCATTCACTGGTATTTCTTTGCAGGCACTTTGATTTTGTAGTCAGTTCAATTATTGAGCACCTACTATTCACTTGGTGATATGCAACCCATTTCACTCCTGCCTGTTCTTTACTCCTCATAAGTATCCAATCATCCTGACTTTGCAGATAAGGAAACTGAAGCTCTTAAAGATTAGAGTGCCTTTGCCCAAAGTCACACAGTTAGAAAGTGGCAGGACCAAGATTCACTCCAAGGTGCTATTCTTGTGCTGAACTTTGTTACCCCTGAGCTTCTGTCCCTTGTGTAAATGTCTTGTCCATCTGTGTATGTTCTTGAGGCAAGGGCTGTGTCTCTCACCTTTATGTCTCCTCTAACATCTAGCCCAGCCTCTTGCACAGAGTGAGTGCAACAGAATAAACAGAAAATAAAATACCGATTCAGGGACTCTCAGAAAACACCTGCAAGGCAGCATGTAGATCCCTCCCTCCACTCCCATTTCCCCCTCACTGACTCAAGGGGCCTGGCTGCCAATGCGCTCACATCAGACTCTTCCAGGAGCAGGTGCTAATTCAAACAGCCTCATTAACAATCTGTGGGGCCCCTGTGCTCATTATAGTGGGGTTTTAACTATATCCAGTTTCCACAATTCAACAGCTTCTATTTTTAACCATAATGGCAGGATCTACAGGAGAAGGAACGAACAGGATCTAGTATTCTCCCATGTCACTTTATGTCCCCTCCTAGTGTTCCACAGGAAAAGAACCTGTCAAAAAGCAAGAAAATACATCAGATCAGCTACATACATTGTGATTAATATCTCACCATTTACCTGTTTTCTGGCTATGTAAATATTATAGTTTTTTAATCAAAGTAAATCTAAAAACTAAGACAATTTACCAAGCTATCACCAACCATGACAGTTTACCTGTTCCCAGCCATATAGTTTCCATGATACCACAGCAATCTCAAACATTCCTTCCTTCCTAAACATCACTTCTCTCCTAGGAAGGGAGGCTGAGGCCTCATAAGGCTCAGTTTGGTTTTGTTTAGTCTCAGTTTTCCCCATTTTACTTTGCTGGAATACTATAAATTATTTCTTGTGAATTATTTCTTAGCAGAATGCTTAGCACAAATTACACATAGTGAATGTCTGGTGAATGAATAAATAATCTAGCTTGGTGCTATTCAAGCCTTTTTAAAACTGTGCAAAGTAAAAAATATAATGTATATTCCCCTTATCTCCCTCTGAAACAAACATTTTCTGAAGCATTGCCTACCTTTACTACCTGCAGTGCACGCTGATGTTTTCCCTCCACTCCTGTACTATCCTATTATCTCACTTCTTTTAAATGTTGGTTGTAATTCAATAAATTCATGCATGATCACACTAAGGAGTTCCAAACCTAATTTGGATCATATTGGATTAGGGATAGGAACTCTATTTTATTTTGTACATGGGTTATTTTATTTACCATCACCATCTCTTTTTTTTCTCTCCTATTTTTAAGTGTTTAGCAAGGGCATAATCTATATTTATAAAAGGCTAATATGCAAAGTGTCCCCTCAGGAGTTCGACAGGGAGACCGGGAGTTCAATTGCTCACTATGACATGTGCTGACCACCAGCGGGTGGCACAAAACAAAGGAAGGCCCTGGCTGGCAGCTGGGGAAGGAAGGCCCTGGCCAGCAGCCAGAAGGCCCTGATTGGCCCTGATTGCCAGCCAGGCCTAGGGACACTACCCATGCATGGATTTCATGCACTGGGCCTCTAGTTAAAAATAAACATATGGGGAAAAGTCCTTCACACAAAACAGACAATAGCTGTCCTCTTCAGGGTCTTCTGGTGTTTAAAGTTTGCCTCTTTGCCTTGGAAACCATGACAACTTGGGGTCAGACTGAGTCATTCTTGCCAAGGAATGTTTCTCAAAATGTATGTGTCCATTCTTCCTTGGGCCGCCAACTAATGATAACACCTAACATTTACTGAGCACTTACATTTGAGGTACTGTTTTTATAATCATTTTATATGTATATCCTCAGTTAATCCTCACAAAAGACGTTTAGGTAAAAACTATTATTTTTGCCATTTTATAGAGGAGAAAACACAGGTACGGAGAGGCTAAGGCTGCTGGAAAAGAGCAGAGCCAGGTGAACCCAGATATTCTAAGAAGATGTGTGCATCACAGCTAGACTACTATATTCAAATCTTGTCTCTGCCTCTTAGTAACTGTGAGGTCTTGAGAAAGTTTCTTAAGATCTCTGTGCCTGTGTTTTCTCAACTATGAAATTATAGTTAATGATGATATTAATAGTTCCTACTCACAAAATTTGGGAAGATTAGGGCAGTTTATATGTAATACTTAGAACAATATCTGGCACATGGTCAGCACTTACTAAGTGTTTGCTCTTATGATGACATGACAAACTGCACCCTAAGCCACTGTAATAGACTGTCTTTATAGTTCTTAGATGTCTTCCATAGTGAAAGGAACATTTGTGCTGAAAAGAACCCTAGAGGTCAACTAGTTCCACTTGGTCATTTCACAGTTGGGGATGGTATAGAGCAGTGGTTCTCAACCTTGGCTGCACATTAGAATCACCTGGGAATCTTTTTAAAAATCCTGATTTCTGGGCCTCATCCTCTGGAAATTCTGTTTCTTTGTTATGGGGTGAGGCCACAACATTAGTAACAAAGAAACAGAATTTCCGGAGGATGAGTCCCGGAAATCAGGATTTTAAAAGGATTCCCAGGTGATTCTAATGTGCAGCCAAAGTTGAGAACCACTGGTCTAAAGAGAAGGAAGGGACTTGTTTGTCCAAATGGATGAGGCAGTGCTAGGAGTAGAACTTGGATATCCAGTTTCCCAGGAGTGTCCTTCCCACCACACTACCTCTTGCTTCCTCATGTGTCTTATGAATGATGCTGTCCTATTCGCTCCATTTTCTCCATGTCATTATGTTGCTAGGAATAAACCTAAGTGCTGACTGCTGGGGAAACTCTTACTCAACAAGCTATACTGCAAGCATCCTGCTTTCTATATTTATTCATTGCAGGTATTTAGTATTTTATTATAACACTAGAGGCCCGGTGCACAGATTCGTGCACATTGAAGGGAAATTAATTAGAAGAAATATTTTAATATCGCGATTTGCCCTTTCTCTATAATAGAAGTGTCAACCAAATTCATGATCGACAATGACAGATAGAAACACATGCGTGTGATTGGTGCCAGCAAGAGCTTTATATGTATCATGCATGTGTGAGTCAACTTAGCCTTTTATAGATATAGAATAAACTTGCTTAATTAGACCTGCTTTCTGATTTAGCTAAACTTTTTCCAGCCCAGTGAAGCACCCCAACTTCTCTTTCAGGTAATTGTCAGCAACACAGCAGTAAATATCAACACAAAGCAGATTATTATTGTAGATCATGCAGGGAGAACAAAGGGTAAAATATTTAACTGCAGCAGTGTTTGACTATATTCTGTGCAGTGAGAAAACCTGAAGTCATTTTCAAGGTCTACCATTTCTGACTTCTTTTCAGTTGGGTCAAATTTCAAAACTTTCTGGCTAATGAAAAAAAAATAAGTTGCTATCTAGTCTCCTATCTACCTACTCCAGGACTTCAGTGAGGATCAAATGGGATGAAGCATGGAAAAATGCTTCACAGACATTTGGTTAAAGTGTAAAATGTTTGCACCTGGCTATAAAGCAAGTCGTGTTCCTGGGCTGAAGAAACTCCAACGAAGCTAGTCAATAGAGCCACATTTTGCACCATGGGGTCTTGGCAGCATTGGCTGTGATTTGGTGGGGCATCGCTCTGGGGTGGTGGTGGGGCCTGTGTCCCACTTGGGGGAAGCTGATTGTTGCTTTGTCAACGCCAGGACTGTGGTGCCGTTTCTTTGTAAATGGCTAATGTGCGTCACGGCAGCTCCTGCAATGTGCATTTGCTCCCTGGAGGTCAGTGTGCGTCATAGCAACCAGTCAGACAGTTGGATGGACACTTAGCATTTTAGCTTTATATATATATAGACTAGAGGCCTGGTGCACAAAAATTTGTGCACTCGGGGGGAAGGGGGGATCCCCTCAGCCCAACCTGTGCCCTCTCGCAGTCTGGGACCCCTCGGGAGATAATGACCTGCGGGCTTAGGCCTGCTACCAGGTGGCAGAGGGCAGGCCCAATCCCTAGGTGCAGCCCCTGGTCGGGCTCAGAGCAGGGCTGATTGGGGAGTTGGGGCACCACCTCTGTCATGCACAGAGCAGGGCGGATCGGGAGGTTGCGATGCCACCCTCAGT